AGGGCGAGGGAGGGCAAGGGAGGGCAGAGGAGGAAAGAGGAGAGCAAGAGACGGCAGAGGAGGGAAGTGGAGAGCAAGGGGCGGCAGAGGAGGGCAGGGGAGGGCAGGAGAGGCCAAGGGAGGGCAAGGGATGGCAGAGGAGAGCAAGAGAGGTCAAGGGGGGCAAGGGTTGGCTGAGGAGAGCAGGAAATGGCAAGGGAGGCTACAATGTTGTGGACTCATAGGCCAGCAGTTGCTTGGTTGTGTATGCAGCAGGCATGAAGGTGGGGTTTGCATGCAAAACGTTGTTGTATCTTACTAAACCACAACTGGATGGTGGCGTCGGAAGACACCGATTTGGAAGAGTTTCGCCCGCTTAAATAGCGGAGGATGCGGCCATCCCATGAATCGTACAGCCAATTCCGAAAAGGCGCGGTCCAGTCCGGAATGGCGTACCGTTGATCCATGCTTCCAATCGATGACGGGGCTCCGCGAGCCAGGGACCAGCGTCCCAGTCGTAGCCTGTGCTACGACCCCTGCCCATACTTCTGCAAGTATGGACTTCCGCCTGAGGCGGCGTTTACTTGTTGGCATCCATGACAGCTTCCCGCTCGCCGTCTGACCCAGAGGTCGGAGCCATAAAGATCTGACAGAAAAAGCGGCAAAAATAGGCAGTTGGAATTCAGTTAGTTCCAGCGAATTTGTCCAGTAACCGCGCCAAGCGAGAAAGGAAAAATTAGACAGAAAAATGTATCAGTTTGGACCCAGATTTAAGAAGCGGAATACAACAACTATCCCCCCTCTAGATGCAGCGTCCTCGATGCATGGCAAGAAACTGGCAGAGCAGAACCGGGCCAAAACGCGCGGGAGTTAAAACACTTACCTTAAACCCGCAAATCTTACCTTGCCCGTGCTCGTTGCCGTGCTTCTTCCAGCAGAGGTTTTAGGTCAGGGGTAAAGTTAGCTTCTGGTTCCCAACTGTTGTGCTCAGCCGAGTACCCAGCCCATTTGACAAGATACTCGTGCACAGTGCGCTTACGGCGGCGGTTTCTGCCTACTTTTCGGGAACGGTAATCCAGTATCCGTTCAACCGCGTAAAATGTCTGCTTGCCTGAAAGCCAAGTAACTGGTCCTGGCTCCGTGACAGTAGGAGCAGGTTTTGGCTGAAGCGCAGCAGCAGTGTCAGTAGTACGGAAAGGTCGGACTAGAGAGACATGGAATGTGGGATGGATGCGCATGTCAGGTGGTAGTTGCAGCTCGACTGCAGTAGACCCAACCATGCGAACGACAGGAAATGGTCCCACCCAACGAGGTAAAAGCTTACGAGAACCATCCGCTAGAGACCTCAGGTTCTTAGTGCTCAGCATCACCAACTGGCCCTGCGAGAAGGTGATGGCACGTCGGGATTTGTTAAAGTAGTCCGCCGTACGTTGCTGTGCAGCTTCAAGGCAAGATTTAGCGTCAGTCAGT